TTTTGCCGCTCCGCTGCTCGGACAACGTTTAACTGATCTAAATTCTATATTCAATAATAGATGGGACATGGGTTTAGACCATGTGGAGCGATTTTGAGACAAATCGGTGAAACGGCAGAGGAGGAGATAATTTCCAGCCGACATGTGTGAAAAAGATCAATTTTCATTTTTCCATTTTCCAATTAAATTAATGAGCTTCCTGTTTGTCAGGGGGCGGAGCCATAATAACTTTTTTTTTCATGTCTTGACCTGAGGAACATGTGTACCGAGTTTTGTGGCTCTACGACAAACTTGACCTCCGACCCGCTCCCATAGGCGCAATGTAAACTGACTTTTGTAGGGGGCGCTGTTCGGCCATTTTTTTAGTCCCATAAAAATAAACACCAAAAAAATTAAGTTTTCGCCGGTTCTGAATTTTGTGCAAAATTTCACAACTTTTCATCAATGTTCAGGGGGTCAAATTAAGGTTCAAAGTGCAGAAGAAAAAAGAAATTAAAGCCGCAAGCGGCATCTAACGGCCCTCGCCGCACCGCGCAACCGAGGTGGCGCTGACGCGCCATTTTCCTAGAGCCCTGATGGGAGCGACACTGTGCCATTTGAGTTCCTATGAGCAGTGATTGTGTGTCTCTACTGAATAGATAAACCTCTTTCTCCCCATGTAACACTTGTATCAGTCTGTAGGGGGCGCTATTGTTGCAATATCATGATTCACACCTTCCGTTTACCCAAACCCGAGAGCTGAACAATCAATTCAAATTTTGTGCAAATCGGACTTTGTATGTGCAAATGGTGGCATTTAATGTTGTACAATAGTGCCCCCTACAATTTCATTTTATTAGTGTTATACCAAAGAACACCAAAATAATACACTTCATGCCTGAAAAAAACTTGTGGCAAAGTTTGGTGAGTTTTTGTGTTTGTTCAGTGGGTCAAATATGAGATCAAACAACAGAAAACCCAAATACCTGTATCCCCATGTATACCTTTACTCAGCCTGTAGGGGGCGCTAATGGGCCAATGTCATTGTTCACACTGTCATGTGACCTAGGCCCAGGAGTTGAACAACCAAGTTTAAGTTTAGTGCTGTATCCCCATGTAGACATTCGACTCAGTCTGTAGGGGGCGCTAATGCAGCAATTTTATGATTTACACTTTGAGTTTACCCAAACCAAAAAGTTGAACAACCTATTATAAGTTTGTGCATATCAGACTTAATATGTGCAAACGGCGGCATTTGTGTTGAACAATGCCTCCTGCACAGTTGTTTATTGAAAATCCATGTTTTTATATCAATATATCTATTTGTGCAAATAAATAAATTAAATCAAGACACATATTACCATTTTCCATTTCCAAATAAGGCTACACCATTTCAGTGCTCTCATAGGAAGAGCTGACTGTTTCTTTTGTGTGTGTGCTCTGTGTGTCTGCACTCCATGGTGTCTTTATATTATACCTTTTTATGTATCACCTTAAATAATAATACATACATTCTTTAACAAGTCATTTTAAAAATTATTTTGAATATATCACAGCTTTGTACTTGTTTTAATCATTGTAATAGTTATAATAATCATTGTGACATTCATTGTCGGCCATCTTAGGCCAGGAGGCGGGACATACAACTTCTCGTGATTGGCCCTTGTAAATGTGAAGCTCTCTTATTGGCTGCATGCTCTGATATAAAAACTCTAGACAGCCATTTTCTCTTTGCAGATCTTAAAGAAGCTATACCCGATTTTTTTTCTAAGTAGTTCATAAAAATGCTTTTTACTACATACAAGTTGTATCAAAATACATCATTTAATTGAAAACTTGAGGTAATTGATTCAGCTGTGTAAGAATTACAAGCAGTGAAAAGTGCTGAGTAGAGTCTGAGCGGGCCGCTCTTTCTCCTCCGCTCACAGAACAAGCAGCGACCAGCCTGCGTCCTCTAGCCTCTACAGCGCTGCGGAACACCAGGGCTTCGACTTCAAAATTCGAATATAATTCTAAAATAAAAAATGAACAAAATAATTGAATAAAAAATGTGAACAAATCTTAGACAACCCTTGTAATTCGAAATGTATTTAATGACTGCAAATAAAATAGTTAGCTCCCAAAGGTTTCACCGGGACGTGCTAGGCAGGTAACAGCTAAGCTAGCTAGTTGTTTCATGGTAACTTCCGGGTTTTTCGCAATCGCTTTTTGTCACATTGAAACAGTATTTTTGTCATGAAAACGTTAACAGCAAATTCTGAAATCATCCGTGCATGTGTGTTAAGGATGTATATGTGTACTGTATTGTCCGATTGACGTTTAATGGTGTTGATTGATAGATATGTAGTTGTTTATTGAGCGTGGCTAGCTCCGCTAGCTCCGTTGGCTTCTCTACACAGACGAGTGTGTAGTGACAGGTGCTGATAGCTTGTTGTACTTGCAGAGTAATGGCAGTATTTTACACACCTGAATTACAAACAGAGGTTGCATTGGGGCTTCGGTCATTATTGGTTTGAGAGTTCTGTTATCAAGAAAAAATGATCGGAAGAATTGCTGCTGCTGCTTTGAGGAGCTCTATAACACATTATAATTAAATATTAGAATATATTCTAAGGTTTTAAATTAATATATTCGGACGCGAAACTAGCGGTATTCTTTTACTTATATATTGTGTTAGCAGTGCGTTGCTTTAGTACCATTTCATCAGTGATTGTTGCACAGCTTACAAGAAGTTGCGCTAATGCTAATGTTAGCATATGTATCAGATTGCAAATAAAACTAGGTGGCTCTGTGTTATGAGAGCGTAGGGGAAATGAGAAGCCATTGAGCGAGTTGGGGGCGGTGCTAAACATTCAAACATTGCAGAAACGGGTATAGCGCCTTTAACTTTGTTAACATCTGTTCCCTTATTGCATCTCTGCTGGAATATTTTATTCTACGAGAAGCTGCTTCAACTCCTGGATTCACTGCTTGGATTAGCTGATTTTTTTCAGTCTTTTCTGACTTGTGTGTCCATTCATCTACACCATCTCCACAAAACCTAAAACTAATTTTAAAAAAGAGAAGAAAAAATCTACAAGAATAAAGGTCCTTTTTAGATCAACTGTTGATCGCCTGCAAGCATCTTTCACTGAAAGGTAAGCGCTGGTTTTTACACATGCTAATGTTCGAAGCGTCTTTTCCTCTGCTCTGTGCTAGCGGCTTACGTTGGGGTATACAGTGGATTAAATTTGCTTTAGTCCTATTTGTCTTAAAATGTTATAGTATTATGTGATTAAAAAAATATATAGATATGTTCCTGCTCATTTGAAAGTACTGGTTGTGTTGAATCGCTGCTTGGCTGTGATTGGTCCGTTTAAAAGATGCATGGGTGTGTGTGTGAACTTGTGTAGTTAGTGTTGGTGGTGTTTGTGGTAAAAAAAATGTGTTTGGAACCTGCTTTAGTCCTGCTTTAGACCTGCTTTAGACCTGCTTTAGACCTGCTTTAGTCCTGCTTTAGTCATGCTTTAGTCCTATTTGTCTGTAAATATTCTAGTAATGTTTTTTATATTATTTAAATAAGGGTTGTGTGTGTAAGATGGCGTTTATGTCAGTCCTGGTTAAGAGTGTGCAATTAAAGCTGGTATACATAAATTAACTAACGCTAAGTATTTTTTGTGAGATATAAACATTTAATTTAATATCTTTACAGATATTAATATTATTCATGTAATGTCTATGTATAACTTAAAGATAAAGCTTTAACATGTCTGCCAAATGTAATATTGAAAATATCAAAGGCTTTATTGCATGTTTTTTCAATATTTCATGGATGCAGCCATTTTGTCTGCAAGGAGCTGGCCATGGCAGCTCAGAATTAATTTACAACAGGTTTTTATAATCTGCTTTAGTCCTGCTTTAGACCTGCTTTAGTCCTGCTTCAGACCTGCTTTAGACCTGCTTTAGTCCTGCTTCAGACCTGCTTTAGACCTGCTTTAGACCTGCTTCAGTCCTGCTTTAGTCCTGCTTCAGACCTGCTTTAGACCTGCTTTAGTCCTGCTTCAGACCTGCTTCAGACCTGCTTCAGACCTGCTTTAGACCTGCTTTAGACCTCCTTTAGTCCTGCTTAGATCTAATTTAGACCTGTTTTTAGAACTGCTTTAGACCTGCTTTAGTCCTGCTTTAGACCTGCTTTAGTCCTGCTTTAGACCTGCTTTAGTCCTGCTTTAGTCCTGCTTTAGTCCTGCTTTAGACCTGCTTTAGTCCTGGGATGGAGATGGAGAGATGGAGTATGGAGTCAAAAGACTGACGTATCACCTGTTATATTAACATGTTTAAAGTGATACTTTAAACATACAATATTACATATTTCATGGAGGCTGCCATCTTTTCTGTGACGAGCTGAGACAAGTTCATTTAGAAGTTTGATCTGATTGGTCCATTTGAAAGATTGTGCTTTTTTTTATGTTATTTTATTATTATTATTTTTTTTAGACCTAGTTGTTTCCTCAGTTTCACATGTGACCCATGGTGTTTGTGTCCTGGTTCAGACCTGGTTTTGTTTCAGTCCAGGTCATAGTGTGTGGTCTTGAATGAAAGCAGGGGGGCTTGTTATTTTCTTTTGATTTAAATGGTTTTAAGTCCTCTGAGACTGTTGTGGTTTAGGGCTATACAAGAATACATTGAATAGTTTTTTTTCACTAGTAACATGATAGTATTAAGTCCAAGCTTTAGACCTGCTGTAGATATGCTATGGTCATGAATGTCATTTTGGACTTTCTGTTGGTCTTTTAGATCAGCTTTTTCAGTGGAAAATAGATAACTAACTCTCACTCAGCCAATTAGCTGTCAGTATGTAGAAGATACATTTTTTTTTACTTTAAACTGAGTCATATTTGACTGGCTTTAAAGTCATATTTATAGTATTTATAAGTAATATAGTTGATGATAGTACACTGCTTCTGCCCATCTGCTGTCTATAGCTGTTGATTGAATGATTGAAACATTTGATTTGTTTGTTAACTTGTCACTGGTGCTTTCAGATGCCCAGGAAGCCTGGCTGGAAGCGCTCCGAGGCCACGGCCCGGCGCTGGGAGCACAAGCTAGACTTGTCCCGGCGGGGAGTGGATCAGCTGGCCTTTTCTGGCCTAGCTGTTCAGGTTCCTCGTCATGAGCAATGCCCTGAGCCGACCACTCGTATGTTTAATCTTTAATCTTATTCACTTTTCCATCTGTCACTGCAACATTATTTGTATAATTTGCTGTTCATAGGCCTTGGTTCTGGTTCTCGGCATTCTGTGAAGAAGCAGAACTGGCCCACTTCGTCGTACGTCGACAAGCCTTGTAAGTGGGTCGTTCCGCCAGTGTTTCCGGACAAAAAGGTATGTCCCAAAACATTAGTTTTTAAATATGAAATGTTTTTACTTTCTTTGAATACACTTTTTTTCTCATCAACAGTTTGCATTTGTCCTTGGAAACTCCCATCTGCGTGCGATCGTAGATGGGTTCGTGCCGATGCCAGAAGACGGTTTTTCTTTTGGCTTCTGCTCCATACCCGGTGGTTCTGCCCGGGACATATGCAAGGAGCTGTCTTCACAAATGGCTTGTGAAGACCCACCACTTCAGAGGGAGCCAGACGTCGTGTGTCTCCTCGCTCCTTGCAACAACATAACAGCCAGCAAGACGGTTACAGAGGCTGCATCAGAGTTCGCCCGACTCCTCGACGTAGTGTGCAGCCGCTGGCAAGAGGTCTCAGCATGTTTCTGTTTAAAGTCATTTTATTATAATGGTTCCTTAGACAGTATATTCATTCTGTAACGTTTCACATAGGTCTGTGTTCTGGATTTTCCACCTCGTCTGACAGTAGAGGTGGAGCTCCAACAGGCCCTTAGGGAGGAGTACCGCCGTGTGGCAGCTCGCAGGGGTAAGTAGAATATAATGTATTGGCTTCAAAGTGTGAGTTTTCAGATGTCAATGTGCCCTAAAACAGCTCTGTATCTGGCTGTTTTCACAGAAATCCGCTACTTTCCTGTGGCTGAGCACTTCCGGATGGACAAACTCTGGTTGTGGTGCTGGGATGGTGTAAGTAAAAGTTTACATCACAATCTATACAGCAGGGCAAACAAGGTGCAGTGATCTTGGGCCACATTATGGGCTAAATGTATCACATGTTTGTGTGTGCAGCATGTATGGAGGACCAAAACTGTCAAAATAATAACAAATGAATATATAAATGTCACATGTCACAATCTGCAAATATTTATTGAGATAACACTGCAAATTATATTTAAAAAAAATATATATATATACATTATTGAGGCGACAGTAGCTCAGTTGGTAGAGCAGTGGCCTTTGAGCCTGGAGGTCGTGAGTTCGATTCCCACCATGGGACCTACTCCAACTGCTCCCACTGATGTCTACTGTCGTTGTGTCCTTGGGCAAGACACTTGCCCCCGCTGAAAGACCAAGGCTGTTTCACCGCTGACAGAGCAGCCATCTTCCTGTGGACTCACCCCCTGCAGAGGATCAGAGGGACTGGTGCTATGAGCATTGGGTGGCAGCTCTCATTGACACCCCCCTGACCCAGAAATGGACAATAAAGGGCTTGAAAATGAATGAATATACATTATTATTGTACAACAATGAAGCTTTATTATTTAGTTTTGAGCCAAAAAACGTTGTAAACGTTTAGAACGTTGAATAATATGTATTTATTAAATCTCATCATTTGTGTTATCTCAAAATATTTTTGCAGATAGTGACATTTATTCATTATTTTTTTCTTTGACATTTTTGGTCCTCCATATGAATTAGTACATGAATGAATAAATATACAGCTATCTCTTAAATTGCCTCATTTCTCAACAGTAGAGAAAGTAAACCTTTATACTTGTAGATCACAGATGAAAACAGGAAATATATCATTTATAGCTCATTAGCATCTGTGACTTTTCCTAATTATACATAATCATACTAATAGGATTATATTTTAGATATTAGTGAAGCTGACATGCATATACAGTATGTCAGCTTTAAAGGGGTCAACATTGAATGTGTTTAATTCAATACATAGTTTATACATAATACACTTTCGAAAGTATTAGCACTATTTATTTCAAAGTCACTTTTAGATATATAATTACAAGTCTTATTTCAAATTAGCTCACCTAGCTTAACCACTTGTTAAAATCCTTTTGATACTAATCTTTCTTTTTTCTATAGGTCCATCTGAGTGACAATCATGGGATGGGGGTCTACGCTAAACTGCTGCAGCAGGCGTGCTACCAGCAGCTTGAAGGGAAGGTTCCTACCGTTGTGGTTCCTCCCTCCCCATCCAAACCGTACACCTGGAGGTATAAGCCAAGAGTGGTTGTGGCTGGCCCTGAGCCTTCGCCACGCCCACCCCCTCCTGAGTGGACAGTTATTGGACAAGGCCGAGAGGTGACGACACTTTATAATTACATTTATAATGTTATATTATATAATTGTGAAATAAACTCATGGATAAGTTTGTGGGACCAGGAAGTATAATCACAAAAATACAATTTTGTAATTTTTGTCTACGCTCACTACCACTTCTTTCCTGTAATTTAAAGACTCTGTTGAATGTATAAGTAGAGAGAGAATATATTGTTTCCTGGTTGAACAAAATGTACTCTAGATTGGTTAAAGTTTTATCCTTATAGGGGTAAAATTACAAAAACTAGGATGTAACTGTTTCCAAGGTGTTTGTCTCCATCAGGATTATTTACTTGTATTTTTTTTTCCTGTCACAGTTAGATCATAGTTTTCAGTGAAAGAGTGTATTAGCCCTCACTTGCCTAGAACAAATTTGGCATCTTGTTTTTCTACTGAATGTTTCTTAATCAAGGGTGTTTATGTTGAGACAAACACAATTATTTATGAAACCAAAATAAAGTTGGGTACTCCAGCTTTAAGAAGCCTCCTATTGAGTTCCGGTTCCGGGTCAAACATGGCAACACCGTAGACACGCACGTCCCCGTTAAAAAGTTAAAAATTCACCCCGTATGGCCCAAGCCTGAGGATAACACTGAGATTTAAAAGAAGATAACGAAAAGGGCTTGCGAAATGCCTGGAAGAAAAGTCAGAAAGAGCACTGGTATCGTCAAACAACGCCGTAATGAAGACGTCGGGCTAGCGGAGGAGCTAGCTGGCGCGGAGGAGCTAACTGGTTCAGAGGAGGAATTAGCGGAGGAGCTAACATCAGATACGGTGCGGGTTGGACAGAAAATGTCAGACTTGGATACAGTCTTGCGTGAGATAAGAGAATTCAGACAGGGAAGATATTAGGAAAGCAAACTGTAGGATTGATGAGACTGAGAAACGGATTGGTGATAGGTTGTACAATGAGCGTAGGTATCTTGCGGTGCGTGAGGGTTACACCATGCTGGCTTTTCGTGATCTGCCCACAGAATCGGTTATAGAAGGGAAGCGGTTCATGTTTGATTACAGCGAGTCGTTAAACGGGGATATCAATGTTGTGTTCAGTGAACACATAGACCGGGGTCTCAGTGTGACCTTAGATTGTGCTTTTGAACGGATATTTGCGCAGTATCACACGTGTCTTTTTACGCTCGGTGAATATACAGTTGCAATCATTAAAGAGGGCGGTTTTATGCTGTGGTGGACTCGCACGCGCGTAGCTCTAGTGGGCTGCCGCATCCTGATGGTAAAAGTGTAGTATTGTATTTGAGTAGTTTGGATGAGCTATATGAACATTTTTGCAGATTTGGTCCATATTATGGTAAAAGACTGTTTGAGATTATAGGCGTGAGTTTTAACAATAATGGGGGTTTAAAGCACACAGAGTCTGCAGAAGTTCCTTCTGTATCCCCAACTGCTGTGATTAGCTTGGAGGCTGATGCTGGTTGTAAGGAACAGTGCGTTACTGGTGAGAAAGTTGTTTTAGATGAGAGTCAGGGGGATTTAAAGCACATTGAAGCTGCAGAAGATGTTCCAGTGATTGACTTAGAGACAGGAAGTCAATCCATTCCCAGATGTAGACTCAGATGTGTTGTGCACTGGTGTGGAGCACAGTGTATTGTTCTTTAATCCACTTAGTGACAGTCAGTGTAAGGGCTTGTGTGGACGGTTTGCTGGTGAGTTTGAGAAGCATTGTGTAGTACATCCAAAAACCAGAGGCCCATTAGGGGCGCCATGTAAAAATGACAAAATAGCTGCAGACGGTAACTGTTTCTTTTGCGCGGTTTCACAGGCCATTAGTGGCACCCAAAAATACCACCTCAAAATTAGACGAGCGATTGCCAAACATCTTCGTAATAACCTTGAAAAATACAAATCCCTGTTGCGCGTAGGCTTCTCATCCGTCGATCAATACCTCAATACTACAAAGATTCATACTGCGAACAAATGGGCGACAGAGGTAGAAATTCAAGTGGGTGCGGATTATCTGGGCGTCGACATATTTACATTTCGTGACGGACATTGGCTGAAATATAGTTGTACAACTAGGCCTTTGTCAAACAATGGCATTTATCTAGAAAACATTAATAACTCCCATTTTGAAAATGTCATTTGCGTTAAAATACCCAATGAAGATAGTTGTTACGAGTGCTGCCAAATCATCGAAAAATCAATGGGATCCTATAACATTAGTAAGTAAGTTAGTAAGTTATTATTTATATACCGCCTTTTCACTGCAGATCTGAGTCTCAAAGCGGTTTACAATTGTTAATTTTTGGGCATTTGTCTCTCACTCCACACAGAGATGGGAGCAGGGTCGCCAGTACAGGAAGCGCATGCCAGAACTATTGGACATATTTTTAGTGGTAGGGGAAACCGGAGTACCCGGAGGAAACCTACGCAGACACGGGGAGAACATGCAAACTCCACTCAGAAAGGCCCTGGTCCGGCCGGGATTCGAACCCAGGACCTTCTTGCTGAGAGGCGAGAGTGCTATCCACTCAGCCACCGTGCCGCCCGTATTAGATTAGACCTAAAAAGGCAGCTCTCCAGCCGCTAGAGTCTAATAGAGACATAGAAACTAGCGTTAAACTTGCGTTGTCAAAGCATTTGCAAAAGAAAAAAATAAAACACTTGAAGAACAATTACACTCAAAATTGCGATGTAATTAAGGGCATGCGTAAATTAGGATACAAAGTAAAGAAACAAGAAATTATAGAAAAGAACCTGAAAAGATACAAGAGTAATATAGTTTATCAAAAGAAAGTCAGGAAAGCAGCTAGGGACAGTAGCAAACACAGGTATCATCATGATGAGGGTTTTAAACAGGAAAAAAAGGGAGATTCTAGAGAGAGAGGTAAAGACAGATATCATCATGATGAGGGTTTTAACCTTTTTGCAACAACCGGCGCGCCGGCGTGCCGTTTTTGTTTTTAAAATGTTCAACCAGCAATAACGGATGCATTTTGAACACCAAACCCCAAAAGCTGTATGTCATTTTAAAGCTTATTTTCGTATTTACAATTATATACAAGTGTCAGAAATATCAGACATTGCATTCAAAAGATATAACACATAATATGGGAACAAAATGAATCAGCTCCGAAAAAGTTTCTTACCATTTTCCGTGTACTACATAAATAAATCAGCTCTCCTCCCAGCTTGCTATGGCTTATTCTCTTCATAACTGTCCATGGAAAACGGAAATCCACTTGTGTTTCCCAAAGTACAATCCATTGTGCAGAAATCATCCAAAAACGAGCATTTATTTTTAGCGAGAAAAAAAAATTGAAACAGCACGGAGGCAGCTTGTCACTGTTTACGGAAATGCAGCTTTGCCTTTCCCACACAAAGAGGGTATGATTGTGTTCCTCACCTTGTTAGCTACACAATGAGACTATCCCCGAAGAGATAGGTGCTTGATTTCGTTCGCTACGTCTCTGTGAATAAAACAAGCGACTCCCTTTTACGCACGGCAACGTTCTGTTTGTTGTTAGCAGGGCAGGGAGGGGGAGGTGGTAGACCCGAATGAATGACATGGCCGTGTAGCCAATGAGGAAAGCTTTCTAGTGATGGGTGGGACTTGTTGGAGTTCTGTTGGAATGGTCACATAAAAAGCGTGCGTAAAGGGAAAAAGACGCTCGTGGGAGACTAGCGCTCATAAGTCTACCACTTTTACGCAGCGTCTTTGCACTACTTTGTTGGCTTTTTTCTACCAAAATCATGCCGAAATCGAAGGAAAAGACCACAAAGAAGTTCACACGGGATGAAGCACTTGCTCTGATTTTGGATTCATCATTTGACGCAAATGAACAAGAAATGTTCGAAGATGGAATGGATCCATTGTTAGATGGGTAAGAAAAACTAATGAAAACATTGTTTTTACCTTGAATACTAAAGCTTATGTTATATGATATAATTCATCTTTGCAAAAAAAACAATGCATAATTATAATTTATTATAATACATGCTTTATTACCATTTAGCAATGAATTATATTTTTATTGGAGAATAAAGACAAAATAATAAACAGGAAAACAATTTTACGTAAAATAATTCATTATTGTACATAATAATGTAGAAAGGAAAATCCTACTTTGTGAATACAGTGTAATCTAACTTCTTTTCAAACAAGGTACAAGTTATCAGTCATATAGATATACATAAACATATGTATTGTGCAGGTTCAAAATAAATAGATACACAATTGGATAAAAAAACATTCAATGACATAGCTATGCCACTAGCATAATATTATCAATATTGCTAATTGTTTAGATAAATGCAAGTGTACTAAGTGTTTGTGCTATATTTTTTTCATAGAACCAGTGCAGACAGTGGAGATGAGTGGGAACCTCCAGCAAAGTTGAAGTTGGGATCAGCTCAGGCAACTTCACACCCATCCCCCCAATTCACACCTTTGCCTAACACCTCTGACGATGCTCCAACAACTTCTACATTTAGAAGGGGGAGGGGGAGAGCAAGGAGCATACCCATTGTGAACGCTCCAACAACTTCTCCAACAGTTAGAAGAGGGAGGGGGAGAGCAAGAGGCAGAGGTAACCCTAAACGAGCAGCTGTTTCTCCCTCTCTGCATCATGGACGTTCAGAACACTGGAGAAATGTTGAAGAACTGGACACTGTTCCCAGACAATTTCCATTCCGACCTGTAAGAGAACCTGGACCCCAGACCAGGAGTAGACGAGATTCAACGGTCATGGATTTCTTCAGGATGTTCTTCACCGATATTATTCTGGCTACACTGCTGGATAATATGAATGCATTTGGCTGCCACAAAAATGAACATTGGACTGAAGTTACCCTGGCGGACTTTTATTCATTCTTGTCGGTGGTCATTTATATGGGAATTGTCAAGCTTCCTATAATATATTCTTACTGGAGACATCACAATTTATACAATATTCCCTTTCCTTCCTCTGCCATTTCGAGAAACAAGTTCTTGCGTATGTGCCAGTCACTGCACCTGTGTTCGATGGAGAACGATGCACACAACCAGGCACTGAGAGGCACTCCGGACTATGACAGATTAGGAAAAATAAGGCCTCTGTATGAACAGATAGTCAGAGCCTGCAAAGACAATTTTCACCCACGCATGAACATTTCAATTGATGAAAGGATGGTGGCCTCAAAAGCCAGAATTGGTCTCAAACAGTACATCAAAAATAAGCCCACCAAGTGGGGATATAAACTGTTTGTACTTGCTGACTCGGACACTGGCTACACATGGAACTTTTTTGTGTATGAGGGAAAAGCATCAAACACCGGGAAAGGACTAAGCTACGATTCAGTTATATCTTTGTTGAACGTAGAACAACTGGGCACAGGGTATCACCTCTATGTGGACAATTTTTACACAAGCCCCCAGCTTTTCAGAGACTTGTTTACAAAAGAGATTGGGGCTTGTGGTACAATTAGACCAAATCGCATAGGTTTTCCCAGAACCACCATCAACGATTTTGGCAGAGGTGATCCCCGAGGGAGCATCAGGTGGATACGGGATGGTGAACTGCTCTTTGTAAAGTGGAAGGACACCCGTGAGGTAACGTTGTGTTCGACCATACACACTGTGTTCAGCGGAGATACTGTCTCACGGCGGCAAAGACAGGAGGGGACATGGTCTACGGTGTGTGTTCCCATCCCAGCGGCAATCAAAGACTACAATCGCCACATGGACGGGGTTGATCTATCAGACGCACTAATCGGATACTACAGTGTGCTGCACAAAACCAGGAAGTGGTATCGCACACTGTTTTTCCACTTTCTGGACATTGCAATTGTGAACTCATTCTTATTGTTCAACACAACCCACCCGGACAACAAACTGAGCCAACTGCAGTTTCGAGAGGAAATCATTTATCAGTTGGATCAGCATGGAAGTCCTTCAACATCTACAAATACCCCACAAACTCAGGATCGCACCGTGTCACACATCCCTGAGTATTTCAATAAGGGGGATGTAGACAAAGCAACTGCAGCCACAGTTGGCAGGAGGCACTGTAAAATGTGCCACATGAGGAGGCCGGTGGGATGCAAGACGTGCACAGTTCCTCTGTGTTTAGTGCCCACCAGGAACTGCTATTCCCAATGGCACGAAGACAGGGGACTAGTATAAAATGCGTGTCTTCATTTTTTTTGTAAATATTTTGTTTTTTATACTTTGCACATATTGTTTGCACTAAAATATGATGCAATTTTTTTCTAGTTTTGTTTGTACTTTTTGCACTAAAATATGATGCCATTTTTTTGTAGTTTTGTTGGTACTCTTTGCACATATTGTTTGCACTAAAATATGATGCCATTTTTTTCTAGTTTTGTTTGTACTTTTTGCACTAAAATATGATGCCATTTTTTGTAGTTTTGTTGGTACTCTTTGCACATATTGTTTGCACTAAAATATGATGCAATTTTTTCTAGTTTTGTTTGTACGTTTTGCACTAAAATATGATGCCATTTTTTTGTAGTTTTGTTGGTACTCTTTGCACATATTGTTTGCACTTAAGTTTTTTGGTTTTATATACTTTCTTTATACAAAATAAACAATGTTCATTCAATTTGTTGTATTTTGTATTTCTATATGCATTTACAGTACAAAAAAATGAACTTTGAAAAAATGTAAAAAAATTCACATATTTTAGTAGCTCATAAGTACCACAACAAAAATATAAGGTTTTTAGGCTGATTGAGGACATAAAATGTCTGTAAAGCCATTTGGCACAATTTGGCACAAACTGTGCCAAACTGTGCCAAACTGGTTCCGAATGGCACTACTTCATGAAAAAGAGAGACTGCATAAAAACTATAACAGCTAGAAGTCTGAAACTTTAGACAGTTGTTGCCAACAACAGAATGACCATAGGGTTTGAACATTGTGAGCATACAATGAAGTATGCCTTTGTTAGGGCCTTTAGAAATTTTTTTTTTTTCAAACTTCAGAGGATGCAGAGTGAAATAGGAATGACATACATTATTTTAGTTTATTTTTACATAAACTAGAAGGCTCTAGCTTTAAAATGATGCATCACACAAGCATGTGAGATGTAAGATGTGTTTTTAAATAAGCAAAGACATTTGGGTATGCCCAACCATTGTGCACGAGCCAAAATGAGGCGGTTTTTAAGAGGTTAAACAGGAAAAAAGGGAAGATTCTAGAAATAGAAGTGAACACAGTTATAGAGATGAGGATTTAAAGAAAAGAAAAATCAACAAAGTTAATCAGAGAAACAAACACATGTATAGACACGATGAGGGTTTTAAACAGAAACATATCAAAGAGGTTAGTCAAAGAAACAAATACATGTATAGACACGATGAGGGTTTTAAACAGAAACATATCAAAGATGTTAGTCAAAGAAAAACACACATGTATAGACACGATGAGGGTTTTAAACAGAAACATATCAAAGATGTTAGTCAAAGAAACACATACATTTATTGGCACGATGAGGGTTTTAAACAGAAACATATCAAAGATGTTAGTCAAAGAAAAACACGCATGTATAGACAAAATAACAGAAGAGCCTATTCTTAATGTTGTCTTCTTGGTTATTATTTTGGGGGGCCACGCAGACCCGTCAGATTTTTAAGGGGGCCTCGGTGTTACTGAGTTTGGGAATGGCTGCTGTAAACGATACATACTCTGCATTATGATTATTGTGTGATGACCTTATTTGTGTCTCCCACTTTCGTTTGAATATTTTTTACTGGAGAATTTTATTAGAAAAGATAGGTGATTATTAGCTGATTTTGGCTCTGACAAACTTAGACCAAAATGAGAACCTCGTTCTGCTCTGATGGGGTCATCATGTTGACATTTTTTTACTTAAAGTAGTACTAGAATTTAATATGCTGCTATCCAGAATATATAACTGCAATATGTGTTTATAATATTTCGGGTGTTCATTTTGACATGTTCAGATGAATTATGTTAAAAAAACGGCTTTGAAGTGGCACCTTTTAACAAACGCTAGGGGGAGCCAAAATGGCGGCGATGACGTAGGAGAATGACCTCTCACAGCAGCGGACAGCAGTCTTAGCTGGAAACTGTAGGAGGTTTCACTGTCATCTGAACAAGGTATAGACATATTGTGGCATTACAGCCTGCAGGCGGGCTCTATGCCACTTTCTCTCTTCCTCATTTTCTATTGGTTGTTCGTCCCGTCAATCACCCAATAAAAGGTACGCGTCTTCTTTCACTCGTCCTCTGACCTCACTCTTCTGCTTCCGGTTGCGGTGTTTACGTCGCTGTTCCCACTCTCAGGTAGTATCCGAAAGTTAAATGTGAGATATTTGTTTTATGGAGCACTGAGTGTTAAATATTGTGGTTCAGTGCTGCTGCCATGGGTCCACTTGTGTTGCCGTGTAACTACTGCCTGCGGTGCTGGCTGTGAACCCAGCTCGTGTGTGAGCGGCTACCGCGCTAACCCAAGTTTGTAGCCGAACTTGCTAGGTTCGAGTCATTATATTTATTTAGATACGTGCACTTTTAGATTGATGCCATGGAGCCATGCGGTGCACTGTCGCCGCCTTGCCTTACCCAGATTCCATTGACCAGAATCATGTTACAGTGACCTGAACCAACTTGTTATTAAATGTACATATTTTTGTAACCTCGGTATCAGCCACTGTGTTATCACAACGGACCTACGTCCTTTCTTATAAATTTAATGTGGATCCAGTTAAATAATACCCACCACACCCCCCGGAATACCACAATATTTTCATCAGTTTTGTACATAATAGTGTGCAACTCTTTTAACCTTTTAGCCTTATTTGTGAGATTCAAGCTAATTAGTGTTGGGCAAGTTAGCTAACTCTACTTGATATCATAAAACATGCTATCAAGGCTAATATTCGTTTTTACATTATTGTAATATCCATAAATGCTAATCAAAATAACTTGAATTAAATAAATATTTTACTTTTATGAACAAAAAGCTGCAGAAGTTGAAAACATGACTACATGTGATGCAATCATTGATAAAAATGCTAATTAAACCGTTAATAGGTGTTAGCATTTATGGATATTACAATGTACATTGTGGTAAATAAATCTAAGGTAAAGTGAGACTGGCATAATGTAAAAACGATTATTAGCCTTGTTAGCATGTTTTATGATATCAAGTAGAGTTAGCTAACTTGCCCAACACTAATTAGCTTGAATCTCACAAATAAGTGTGAGATTTCATAACACTTTTAAGCAACTTTTGTTAAAGTTAAACTCATCATTCTATCAATGTGCAGAAGCCTGTACTTTTCCCTTGTTTTGTCTATCTGAAGGCCAAGCTACATGGCACCGTGGCAGCTGCTGATTGGAGGTCTCCATGCCTCCGCTCTGTATAATACACTTGCATTCTATTGTATCTGTGTTCGTGTGCTTTGTTCGTGCTGTCTCTACCATTGACAATAAAACATGTCTTCTGTCTGAATGAAAGACGCGATCCCAGACATGTCATCATCTTCAGGTGGTGGAAGGATGCGGGCCTTGTCTGTAACATCTACAGAACAGAAGACTACTTTTTTTTACACAAAAAGTGTTTGTTTTTTAAGCCAAAACTGAGAAACCTCAAGAGAAACCATGCATCAGGACCAGCACATGGACTATCTGCACAGCCCCTGATTCCACTCAGACCTGCTGTGAGCTGCTGAGACATGG